CCCCTCCCATCCCCCTCCCCCCCCCCCCTCTCTGAATGGCAGCTCTTGCGCTGTGCTACTCTGCTCTGAGTAACTCCCAGTGTGGAACACATCTCACCACACTAAAACAGTGGATGTGGCTCTTAATGAGACATGCTCATTATCACGGGGTGTCTGCGCCCTACACCACTGGAGAAATTACACTGTTTAGCTGGTATTGCACCACCTGACATCCGCCGGGAAGTAGCAGCCAATAGTGAAAGGACCAAGGCAGTGACATCTCCAGCTCATCCCTGTTTGGGTATCAGCCAACACGTCAATGACTTAAATCCAAACATCGTTTTCTAAGATCTACAGAGACACACGCTGGAACACCTCAGCAAGTGAGAGTCCAAAAGTGGCAGGCTCAAACCCAGAACCTCAACCAATGGCTGATACCAAATGAGAGACTCCCCCCTGGGCACACAGAAGACTGGGCGACTTGGAAGGCGCTGAACATGCGCTCTGGCACCACGAGATGCAGAGCCAACTAGAAATGGGGCCAAAGTGGAATCCACGACATGCGAGTGCGAGAAGAGCAAACCACAGACCACTGCTGCAATGCACCTGAGCCTGCACAATGCACAATGGAGGACCTCCTTGTGGCCAACACCAGAGGCACTCCAAGTGGCCAGATACTGGTCAAAGGACATTTAATCAACTACCAAACTCGCAAATTTGTATTTTGTCTGTCTGTTTGTTTGTTTTGTTCTGTTCAGTTAGAAATGTAATATAATCGACTGGTTGCACTGACACGATAAATAAAAAATAAATAATTAGTGGGCCAATATATCCTGGCAACCCACTTTAAACATACAATAAAAAACATGACATAATAATTCGAATATAAATACAATAAAAAGCTTAGAAGTAATTCAAATAGAAATACAATTAAAAAGCTTAAAAGTAAACATACAATGCTTCAAATATAAATACAAAAAAAGCTTACAAGTTAATATTCAATCCCAACCAAAGTGGGCTGATGGAATAAGGATTCAAAGGATTCACTCTGGTGCACCTGAGAGATCAATTGTGAAAACAAAGGTGCCGAGATAAACAAAACTCCTTAAGAGGCAAGTTGCTTCCAGGAAAAAGGATATGATACAACACATACGGCAAGGACTGGCTTGGATTCGGGGAAGGGGTGAAGGTAATCCCATATTAAAGCCACAATGGCAAAGAGGCAGGAGATGGTGCAAATGATGAGGCGGCCATCGATCAGGCAGAAGTTCTCCACATACTTGTACTTTTCCAAAAGAACCTGAGGCAGAAGAAACACACAGACATGGATTGAAGAACAAAATAAAGGCAGACCTTCTCCACACGCATATCGCAGATTATGACTTCTGATCCGCTCCAGTGCGCCAAGTCCTGGTACCACATTTGAAGCCACTGACTATGGCCTCTGTATAAAATCCACATTATCTACTTTGAACTGGATTATATGGCAGCGTAGACTAAAATAATTCAGTTTAAAGCAGTGAATTTTCTGCTCTGATAACCTGGATTATCAGTGCCAGGAGCCCCCGGGTTAAACCCCTGTGCCGGCAGGACTAAAGACCAACAGGTCGCAGGTTCGAATCTGGGGAGAGCACGGATGAGCTCCCTCTGTCAGCTCCAGCTCCTCATGCAGGGACATGAGAGAAACCTCCCACAAGGATGATTAAAAACATCAAACCATCCGGGTGTCCCCCGGGCAATGTCCTTGCAGATGGTCAATTCTCTCACACCAGAAGCAACTTGCAGTTTCTCAAGTCGCTCCTGACACGACAAAAAATAAATAAAAATCTGGCAGTGTAGATGGGGACTACAATTGTTTGCATCTTTCTTAGAAACTCACCCTTCTATGGGTCCATGAATCACCACTTTTGGGAGGCCTAGATCTTTAAAAATGCTTTGCACCTCGGTTTCCCAAATATAATAATAAATAATAAAACTTTATTTATATTCCACCCTATTTCCCCAGGGGGACTCAGGGCGGATTTCAACAAACAAAAAGGCAAACATTCAATGCCTCAATAACAGCAAGTACAAATATAATAACCGAACATAGCCACCAGATAAGAAAACAGGCTAGACATAACATCTATACATTAAATAAAAATGTAACCTATCAAAAATGATAACTAACATAAAACGTGAACATAAAACAGTCAAATTAATTTACAAAAGCCAATGAATGTTCACAAAGATGTGTGCGCTGATTGTGGGGCCAGTGATGTTAAATGGGCTAATATAATCTGACAAGGCCTGTATACATTACTAGTTTCTAAACAAGCTAGCTGGCATCCCCCCCCTTCCGATGTGTGATGGGAAGTTGCTGCTAACTGTGAGAGAAATAAGGTTGAACACTGTGAAAGCCACCCACTTTTTTTGTGTGTCAGGAATGACTTGAGAAACTGCAAGTTGCTTCTGGTGGTACTTCCTTGTACCCCTCCTCTATTTGTATATTTATTTCTCTTTTCCAATTCCTTGCGATAAGAAGTCTTGCTATTGTTAATAAGTTTGTTATCGCATCTTTATCCTCTTTTTTCAATTGTTTATTATTATAAAATGATAATAAAGCTATACTAGGACTTCTTTCTATTTTAATATTCATTTTCTATTTCTCTAAATACTTTCCCCCAAAAATTATTTACATATTTACATTGGCACCACATATGTATATATGTTCCTGATTCTTGGTATCCTCTCCAGCAATTTTTTGAGTAGTTTTATTTATGTATTGTCGAAGGCTTTCATGGCCAGAATCACTGGGTTGTTGTAGGTTTTTTCAGGCTATATGGCCATGGTCTAGAGGCATTCTCTCCTGACATTTCGCCTGCATCTATGGCAAGTATCCTCATCTGATGCCATAGATGCAGGAAAAACGTCAGGAGAGAATGCCTCTAGAACAGGGGTTCACAAACTTTTAAAACAGATGGCCAAGTCACAGTCGCTCAAACTGTTGGAGGGCCGGATTATAATTTGAAAGGAAAAACATGAATGAATCCCTATGCACACGGCACATATCTTATTTGTAGTGTAAAAAACACTTAAAAACAATACAATAATTGAAATGAAGAACAATTTTAATAAATATAAACTTAATAGTATTTCAATGGGAAGTGTGGGCCTCCTCTTGGCTGATGAGTTAGGATTGTTGTTGTTGCTGTTGTGTGCATTCAAGTCGTTTCAGACTTAGGTTGACCCTGAGCGAGGGCCAGGTAAATTACCTTGGAGGGCCGCATCTGGCCCTTGGGCCTTAGTTTGAGGACCCCTGCTCTAGAACATGGCCATATAGCCCCAAAAAACCTACAACAACCCAGTTCTATTTATATTTGCTATTCTTACTGGCGTTAGGTACCATTTCCATATTAACTTATTGTAATTTTCTTTAACCCGTATTGATAAATTCTTTAGATGTCTTTGTCTCCATAATTGTTGCCACTCTGTTTCATTTATTTTTGTCCCTACATCTTCTTCCCAGACCTGCTTGAGGATGATGTTTTTTGTTTTTCCTTCCTTTATTTCAATTATTATCTTATATACTTTATTAATTATTCCTTTCAAATTTCCATGCTCCTCTACAGCCCTTCCATTGTGTATTGTTTGTTCGAATTGGTTAAGCTTACTTGCGTTTTTATTATTATTTACCCAGTTTTTAAACCATTGTTCTAATTGTACACAATGGAACCATGTCAATTTTATTTCTCTAAATTCTTCCATAATCATTTCATAGAATCATAGAATCAAAGAGTTGGAAGAGACCTCCTGGGCCATCCAGTCCAACCCCATTCTGCCAAGAAGCAGGAATATTGCATTCAAATCACCCCTGACAGATGGCCATCCAGCCTCTGCTTAAAAGCTTCCAAAGAAGGAGCCTCCACCACACTCCGGGGCAGAGAGTTCCACTGCTGAACGGCTCTCACAGTCAGGAAGTTCTTCCTCATGTTCAGATGGAATCTCCTCTCTTGTAGTTTGAAGCCATTGTTCCATTGCGTCCTAGTCTCCAAGGAAGCAGAAAACAAGCTTGCTCCCTCCTCCCTGTGGCTTCCTCTCACATATTTATACATTTCCTTCTTCATTCCAACCTTGTACTCATATGTTGTATGTATTTTACTGTGTTGTTATTGTGTTTTGGTTTTACTTTATTGTAATGCGCTGTTGGGCTTGGCCTCATGTAAGCCACCCCGAGTCCCCATTGGGGAGATGGTGGCAGAGTATTAAATAAATATTATTATTATTATTATTATTATTATTATTACCCAGTCCCCTATTTTGTCTAAGTTTTTTTCCCCTTAACTCTTTATCCATTACTTTTAAAAAATGGATTTTTTCCCCACCGTTACAATCGGGGAGCTTCTCTCCTCCTTTCCAGCTTCCAAACCTGGGTGGACAGAGAGGGCTTGGCATATTAACTGTGATGGAAGCGCTCTGTGAATGGCAAGTTAACTCTACATTGGGGTGAGTACATTCAACACAAGATCTAGTTGTGGCTTTTAAAGAAAAGAAAAGGTGCAAGGGGGAAATGTGAAAGCTATGGGGAGAATCACCCATTTAGCAAAGATACCTTTGGCCAATGTGTTTGGAGACCTCAAGAGGAGAGGGCAAAAGGACAGGGGGAAAGGGTACCTTTTTGGCAGAATCATCCAATGAATTCTTCACAGCTGACCCGTCCCACTTGTCTACTTTGACAGGCTTGTCTTCGATCTTCCACTGCCAGGCAAAACACAAACAAACAAGAATACCATTAGTCAGTGCCCTTGCCTTGTGCGTCAGCTCTGGGCAGCACCTGGTTTCTCGGCTGGCTCCCATCCAGGCAGCTTTGGACCAAACTCTGCCAAGATGCAGACATCCTGGACAATATTTTGGGCATTTATAAAGCATCACTCCAAAGAGACAGAAACTGCCTGAGGGAGAAGAACAACAACTAAGGAGGCAGCTTCCTTTTTTAAAATTATATTGCAGATGCACAATCAGGAAAGAGGGAGGTGAGCTTGCCAAGGCCAAACCTGAGTTTAGAATTAGGAATATCAATTGACAGCTCAGGCCTTTCCTGCTTCTGCTCTTGCTCGCTGGCCCTACATCACTCTGTCTTGTTCTCGAAAGGCAAATCATCTATATCTGATGGCTAAAACAATAAGGGAAGCTTAATATTCATTTTTCAAAATCTATGAGTACATACATAAGTGAAAATATGCATATTATTTTATCCTTTAATAATATTTATTTATTTTATTTATTATTTATGTACTATGCTTCTATACCGCCATTCTCAGCCCAAGGGCGACTCATGGCGGTTTACAAAATGGCACAGTTCGATGCCCACAGCAGTACAAAGATAATTAAACATTGAACATAAATAAAAATTCATTACAAATAGCATCAATAAAACATAATAAAAAACCGTAAGTCCTCCTCATTTCATTACCAATCATTATCCATAATACCATTCATCTATATATATATAAATGCTCTGTGCATAATGAGTACCTTAAAAACAAAAGAACCAAATCACACCAAATTTGGCAACAAAACATCTCACAACACAAGGAGTGACCATCACTCAAAAAATTATGATTTTGTCATTTGGGAGTTGTAGTTGCTGGGATTTATAGTTCACCTATAATCAAAGAGCATTCTGAACTCCACCAACGATGGAATTGAACCAAACTTGGCACACAGAACTCCCATGACTACCAGAAAATACTGAAAGGGTTTGGTGGGCACTGACCTTGAATTTTGGAATTGTAGTTCACCTACATCTAGAGAGCACTGTGGACTGAAACAATGATGGATCTGGACCAAACTTGGCACGAATACTCAATATGCCCAAATATAAACACAGATGGAGTTTAAGGGAAATAGAGCTTGACATTTGGGAGTTGTAATTACTGGGATTTATAGTTCACCTACAATCAAACAGCCTTCTGAACCTCACTAATGACAGAATTGGGACAAACCTCCACACAGAACCCCCACGACCAACAGAAAATACTTAAGGCCATCCAGTCCAACTCCCTTTACAAGGACAAGAAAACGTAATCAAAGCCCTCCTGACAAAGAGCCATCCAGCCATAGATATAGAGAGAGTTATGACTCTCTCACACACAGATAGTGTCATAGATTTGAAAAGGACCCTTAAACAAGGACAATTCTATGTTGCATGCTCCAAAGTAGACCAACCAGACAATCTCTACATCAACACAAGCATAAAGAAATTACATATATTAGAAACCAACATTTTCTCATTACTTTATTTTCCAGATCACCAGACTGGGCCACAGCAACGCCTGGCAGGGGACTGCTAGTGTCTTATATTTATCGCTTCTCAGCCTTTTGGCTAAGATCAAGTATAGTATATTTATGCTAATTTAAACAATAAAAAAAACACAATTTCCTTATACTTCCATCTCTTTCTTAAACAAATTCAACAGCCAATACTCAAGTGCTTAATATTTTTTTGAATACTTTTTATGGAAAGTTTTTGTGAATGCAATAAAAATAGAGAAAGGGAAGGGAAAAAGTGAGAAAAGGTATATAAAAAGAAATAGGAAAAAAGAGAAAAGAAAGGTATATAAAAACATAAAATGAAAGGAAATTTGGGGGAAAAAAGAAAAAAAAGTGTTGAGTTTCTGTACTCCTGATCTTCTTCTTTGCTTGTTGTGTCATTCTGTCCTACATTTTAAAAAAAATGAAAAATTGCTTTCTACTTTCTCCTTTTGTGCTGCATCCTTGAGCGTGTGTGTTCAGTAGTTGTTTTCTAATTAGATAATTTTTTCTTAAATCTATGAGGACATACATAAGTGAAAACTGCCCTGAGTCGCCTGAGGGCTGAGAAGGACGGTATACAAATATAGTAAATAAATAAACAATTTTTCTTCTCCTCTTTCATATTAGGTTTTAAACAATTGCCAATTCGTCTTTTTCCTTGGTGTTCAATGGCAAATGAAAATTACGTTCTGGGTTTGACTTGAAAAATAACGGTCTTTGACGAATGTAAACACAGATCATTTCCTTTAGCGTTAATCTAGTAACCTAGTCAGCAAATGTTGACAGATGTACACAGATGTAACCTTTTATCTTATCACTGTCACAGTTCTTATCACAGTTTACTTTTTCAGTTCTCATTAGCAATTTTAATTACAGCCCACCAAGCAGGCAGTTATTGATTTAGTCCTTGCAGGCCTTAATCTTTTAGAATGGCGTCTCCAAAATTATTAACTCTCTATTCATTCATCTTTCGTTCAATTCCATTCATATACATATCAAATCCACCGCTATCAAATCTGCACATATTTCTTGTGACACAGTTACCAGGAAGCTCTTTCCTAGCCTTGTTACTCAACATCTTTTAGAAAGGGAAATTCTAGGAGCGGGTTTGCATGCAAACACCCAGCTGATGGCCCCTCCTTGCCACCGATTTAACAAGAGCCAATTACTTGTGCAAAAATCAGGGCTGCTCAGAACATTTAATCAATTAAAGGGCTGGAGTGAGAAAGGGAGCTCTCCAGGCAGCCATCCATCACTTAAAGTGGCACCCCCAATTAATCAAACAACAGACTTCAGCTGATGATTTAGCCAAGTTTCAGTTGTGATGATTATGGATCTACACTTCCTAAAGAGCATTATCTGGTATCTCAGTTCTAAATCCTCTTTGTAGGGATAATCCATGCCCAGGTATTAATGAATTATTTCCATGTGCTCTCTGAAAGGTTGCCTGCCCTTAATCAGAAGGGCAAAACGCAGCATTTCGATTGCTGCATTTTGATTGAAATAGTTGCATTGGCTGCCTTTACATAATCTGGTGAGGTTTAAGGTACTGGCATAGAATAGCAATGGAGGGACTAGAAGATCCTACATAGGGCATTCTTCATAAATAAATCTGCAAATATGGAGGGCCAAATATATTTCTTTTTATCTTGGCATTGATTTGTATGATAAAGCCTACTGTTTAAATGTAACACAATTAAAACATACACTGCCATAATAACTTTGTTAGGCCAACACAAAAGTGTGAATGCCAGCATGAAATATTTTATACTCCTGTGTATTTTTTGATTTTGCTTGATGACCATCATAGCTATACCTACCATTCCTTTTAGATATATATAGGATGAAGCAGACACTTCATTGTATTGTCGAAGGCTTTCATGGCTGGAATCACTAGGTTCTTGTGGGTTTTTTCGGGCTATAGAGCCATGTTCTAGAGGCATTTCTCCTCTAGAACATTTCTCCTCTAGGAGAAATGCCTCTAGAACATGGCTCTATAGCCCGAAAAAACCCACAAGAACCTAGACACTTCATTGTTTTTAGTTCTGAATCTTATGTTTATTTGTGCAACACTGATCTGAGAAAGTTCTTTATTAATGGGTAACGAAAATCTTAAAAGAAATGCCACAGGCTCTTCAACTCTTATGCACACATTTATCAACATCATCATCATCATTGGATTTCTACACCCAACACCGCTGTTTAGCCAGTATTGTATCACCTGATATCATAGAATCAAAGAGTTGGAAGAGACCTCGTGGGCCATCCAGTCCAACCCCCTGCCAAGAAGAAGGAATATTGCATTCAAATGGCCATCCAGCCTGCCAGGAAGTAGCCATCCATATCTGCTGCGAAGTAGCAGCCTATAATGAAAGGACCAAGGCAGTGACATCTCTGGTCCATCCTCTGTTTAGATATCACCCTTAAATCAAGAAACAGCTTCCTAAAATCTACAGAGATACTTGCAGGAATACCTCAGCAAGCAAGAGCCCAAAAGTGGCAGGCTAAAGCCTGGAACCTGAATCAGTGGCTGAGACAGGTTTGTAAACTCCCTTCTGGGCACACAGAAGACTGGGCAACTGGAAAGGTGATGTACTGACTGCGCTCTGGCACCACGAGATGCAGATCAATCTTAAGAAATGGGGCCACAAAGTGGGGTCCATGACATGCGAGTCTGGAGAACAGCAAACCACAGACCGCTTACTATAATAAGCCCTGCCACATGCACAATGGAGGACCTTCTTACAGCGACACCAAGTGGCCAGCTACTGGTCAAAGACATTTAATACAATGCCAAGTTTTTAACTTTGTTTGTTGTTTTTATACATTTTAACTGTATTCCCAATTTGCTTCTAACACAATAAATAAATAAATATAAATTATTATTATTGTTATTTATTAATTTATATCACGCTTTTCTCCCCATTGGGGATTCAAAGTGGCTAACAACACGGTATAAAAGATACAGGTACATTATCATAGAATCACAGAATCAAAGAGTTGGAAGAGACCTCCTGGGCCATCCAGTCCAACCCCATTCTGCCAAGAAGTAGGAATATTGCATTCAAATCACCCCTGACAGATGGCCATCCAGCCTCTGTTTAAAAGCCTCCAAAGAAGGAGCCTCCACCACACTCCGGGGCAGAGAGATCCACATTAGGACAGAAAGGAAATAGACATAGCCAATAATAACAATTAAAACATAATAAGATAAACAAACCATAATAAAACACATTAGAGATTAAAATACGATCACAGCACTTTAGGTATAGTTAAAAACTAAATAAACTGAACTGATTTTCAAACATTTTGTTTAAAAACGAGTGTCCCCAATAGTATTTCTGCTTTATATTTGTGTGAAACAGGCCCTAAAAGAACACAGATGGTCACCTTTGTGGTGCTTGTCTGGCTCCAGCTCAAGAACAGGTGTAACATGCTAAATG